AATTTTTCAATTAAAGACTGTATTAAAGGTAGAGGTTCAGAATCTGTTTTTGCAATTTGGTTTAATTTCCTAAAGTCAACACATAAACGACTCTTTTTATTTTCATCTTTTTTAAAGACTAAAGTTACTGGGTCAGCATAAGGGGATGAACTTTCTTTTATTATGTTATTTTTTAACAATTTCTCTATTTGTATATCAAATTCTTGTTGCTGTTTTGGGGATGTTTTGTAAGGCCTTAGAGATATAGGTAAATCTGAGGTTAACCTGACTCTTTGGGGTTCCATTCTGATTTCTCCTACATCATGTTTGTGTTTCGCAAAAACATCATCATAACTTTTTAAAATTTCTTTTAAGTCCACATTTTTTATCTCGCTCTCATTTTTTATTTTTTCGTCGATATTAACCTGATAATGTGTGCACTCATTACCTGGATCTATCTTCGAATCATTTGAAATTTTTGGACATTCTTTCTTTTTCCTATTTTTCCTTTTCCTTTTATTTTTGTTACCCTTTACCTTATTTTTTTCAATGTTTACTTTTACCGAAACATCTTTAACTTTTATTTTTTCAACATTTTTAACCTTAACATTTTGACAATTTTGCTGTCTAATGTGTAAAGATAAGTTGTCACTATTAGAATTAGCAGAGGTGATCAATCTCTTACCAAACTGAGTAACAACTGGCCCGACACAGTCAATAAACAAACAAAAATCTTTGCAAGTCTGCAACCCTAATAAAGCATATGGTAAATCAGTATCAATTATAAAAAACTTAGCTGAGTTAACAATTTCGCCTATTTTAAGGGGAAACTCACAAATTTCGTTAAGTGTTAATTGTCCTTTCGTTTGGGTAACGTTTAATTCCTCACATTTTTTAATAGGAATATTTAATTTTAACACCAAATCTTTTGGTATTATATTCAATGTTGACCCGGTATCAACATTCAATAATATCTCTTTGTTTACATTTTTATTTTGTTTCGGACGTCCCTTTTGGTACTTATTTTCTACTTTATATTCATTTAGGTATTTATTTTCCCCTTGATATCCATTTAGGTATTCATTTTCAACTTTATATCCGGATATTAGTAATTGCTACTGATTACTTGTCATATTTTGAACGTTCACTTCAACCTCATTATAAGGGTTGTTTACACACGAGGAGCCCATGTGAAATTGATTCAAAAGTCCTTTCTTTGAGCAATATTTACATTGATTAAATGGGTTCTCCTGTGTTGTATGATGTATTTTGGGTTTTGTCACATTCGGGGTTACATTTTTATTTTTAGGACAAGCCGGAGCTTTATGTCCTGGTGCATTACATTTAAAGCATTTAATGTCATATTTTGGGTTTTCCATTTTCTTTGTAAAGGGTCCCTTATTATTTTGAAATTTATTTTGAAATTTATTTTTATCTAAATCACTTTTAATTTTTTCATAAATTTTAAGTTTTTGTTTAAATTCAAAAAGATTATTGGCTCCATAAAGAATTGATTTCTTATTTGTTTGGTCTGGCATTCCCTGAATTATGTAAGTGATTAGAGCTAAGTCATCAATATCACTTTGAGTTGCAATTTCTTTCATTTTTAGGGAATATTATTGATGTGTTTTATTATACCTTTGCTTTCTTTTTTGCAACATTGCATGTACTTCTGCACTATTACAACTAAGTCCAAATTCTTCAAGCAAAAGAATTTTTAATTTTTCATAAGAATTTAAATGAGTTTCACTTCTAATTAAAGTTAATGCATTAGCCTTCAACCATCTTTTAGCAAATAAAAATTTTTGCATATCAGACAATTTAAATAAATTAGCATGAGTTTCAAAATTTTCAAACCAAGAATTAGTATTTTCATGGCGATTTCCATTAAACATAGGGGTAACTGCTTCTACATCAGCGAAATTAACTATTAATTTAGTTTCAGGTTCTCTATTATTTAAATCATTACTAGAATTTTGACTATAGGTTGCCATATCTTTATCAGTATAAACATGAGTTTGTATTTCTTTATCAGCATATATTTTAGTATTTAAACTAACTTGTGTAAATTGACTTACACAAGTTTTAATAGGTAAATGGGATTCAAAATCAGTTTGAGTTTGTTTACATTGAAACTGATTAGTTTCCTCCTCATCTTCAGAGGGATTTTCAATTACTAAAGAATTTTTTTAAAAATTGAAATTGCATAAACAAGTTAAGATGTGTTTGGCAATTTCATCTTTATTTCCCTCACTGGAAATACTTAGAATGTCTGAAATTTTGTCTAAGTCCGAAAAATTGAAAGTATTACAAATTTTTTTCAGTTTGTTTGAAAATTCTTCATTGTTAGGTTCAAAAGAAAATTCTGAAAAATTTAGAATTTTGTTACGGTTTAATGTAGAAAAATGATTTGGAAACAAAAGTTTAAATAATAACTTAATTTTGTTTGCCGTCACTAATTTAATTGACGTTTGAATCACATTTATTTCCTTTAAAAACATTTTAAATACACAATAAATAGCAATATTATATCATAATATTTAAAGAAAAAAGCAATATAAACACAAGAAATGCACTTTAACTCTTAATAATATTCTATTCAATTATTCATAATAAAAAGTTTAGAGCAAGGCTCAAATCTAATTTCAATAAAATATTTACAACCTCGCCAACGTCGACCTTCATCAATTTCGTTGAAGAGAAAAAAAAATATATAATTTTTTTTACTTTTCTTTCGCGCACTTAAATCGTAGCAATTCATGAATATTCATGATTAAGATTCGCGCACATTTACTTTTGTTTTCACAACTTGAGCAGTAAGAATTGTAGTCTCACTCGGTGTCGAATCACTACCATGGATGATGTTTCTTCCAACTTAGAGACACTAATCTTAGACATCAAACGTTTTCATGGCTGTGACAAGAAGCTCTATCCAACTTCAACATTCCATTCCAACTAGCGATGAGGTACAGGTACTTGAAAAAACAACCTCATCCTTCCTTTCCTTCGATGCTTTTTTCACTGCAGTAATTTTTCTCAACCGGGGGTGATGGAATGGGGAAAATTTCCACGAAGCAGTCAGCATCCGTTACGCTTAGTTCCAGAGATAGAAAAGCTTAGGTTTCCTCCGCTAAGGAATAATCCTGGCGTCTTATAATAACAGGGCTACATCTCTGTTATCATTGATGTATTCATATTAAGAAATGCAGAAAAAAGCCATAATAAGTTATCAAAAGGTTTATTAACAGGTATGCTGCTGGTTATAACATTTCACATCTCCACTCCACACAGGAGGGGATGTGGACAAATCTCCAGATGGTTATTGGAACATGTTATTCAGCAAGAGTCATGTGAAAACAATCGGTCTCACATTAAATACTACAGATATTGGTGTACTTCGGTCCCAGTCGTACATGCCTTTGTAACTCTACTGTAATAAATTGAAATTTATTATAAGTTTTTTTTTTGTAATACTTTTAAAGATAGATTATTTGTCTGTAGATGGCACCACTACGGTAAAGTTTAAATTCAATCATAATGATATTTTCTTTAGGAATTTTGAATTAGTCTTTTAAAAAGGGATTTTTTTGGGTAAAATCTATGTAACTAAATTTATTAATATTTATTGAAGATGGTATTATAACTTGTATAGGGTATTAGTGGATTCATGACGGTTTTTCTCAGGGATCTTTTTTTGTTTTGGTTCTGACGTCCGCCGGATGCGGGATGACTCTGGACGTGGTAAACAGGTCAGTCTAGATTCTTTCGCCTTGTTGACGGNTATATATATATATATATAGTTATTGCATAATAAGTTCTTTCTCTTAAAATTTCAAAGCTTTAATTTTTAACTAAATTAAGTGAATGAATAAGAATTATTTTATTTTCAATTTCCCATAAATTAATAGTAATTTATTAACAGTAATTAAGCTAAGATGAATTAGGAGATAATTTCAATATTTGTTTATTGCTTCGGTATAAACAATTAAAAAACAAACCCTAGTGATATGTATCAAAAAAAATTTTATTAAAAAAATTCTCGAAGAAATATCCTAATAAATAGTACAGTACTGTTAATAAATAGTGCGAAAATGCAGCAACAGATCGACCGTAAATAAAAAGAAAAAAGATTTCCATTTCTAGCAATGCTCTTGAATGTTGTCTTTTGCTTTATACTCAGAGCCCGTACCAACCATTTGGGAACGGGTTTACATTACGTCTATAGCAGCTCTAACTTTCTTATGAATGATACGTAATATCAGCGCAACGCAGTTACCACAAAACAACTGAGTTTGTGAAGAACCAACATACGATAGCGCACAATGTGAGAGAGTGAAATTTCTCTTAAAATTTCCATTTTGTTCCTACCCATCTTTTTCATAGTCAAAAATCCTAATTTGAGGAAAAGAAAAAGATAAATTTATTTAGTGAGTTTTGGATCTGATTCCATAACTTATTTTATAGTTTTTTCTACTTAATTAACATGTCTTAGGTCAACCCTTTGAACCATTAAGCTTAATTTTTAGTAAGTAAATTCTGATCATTAGAGGAAAAATTCTTTTTTTCCCCTTCACTATGCGTCATCTAATTGCAAATTTTTAGAAACATATCCTTAATACAATTGAAATGAAACTTAAACATAATTTTCAACATCACCTCATAGAATTCTAAATCTATTTTATTTCCATGAAGTTACAGAAATCCTCTAAAATGTAATTGCAGTGTAAAATTTTCTACGTAATTCTCTGATTTTTTAATAAGTAACGAAAATCCTTCTAAATTAGAGAAAATTAAGGGTTGAAATGTATAAAAAAAATCAAAGATTGAGATTATTTTACTAAAATCTTTTTTTTTTTTATTTAGAAGAAAGGCAAGAAAGCAAGACAAGGAAAAAGTGGGGTTTTAAAAAAAAATAAATCAGAGTTTTGTAAAAATTTAAAAATCTACTCTTGAGTATGTAAACTATTACACAAAATAGTTCTTGTGTTAGTTTTACATAAAATTGTTCTATGTATTTGTAGGTTGCGCGTACAAAGGAGAAAAATACGACCATGGTCAACAAGTTGAAACAAGTGAGGCATGTCTTAATTGTACCTGCACTCGCGGAGTTGTTGTCTGTTATCTACGAGTATGCCAAACGGCAACTGCTCCTCCTTTAGGCTGTTTTCTGGCAAGGGAACTTGGTCAATGCTGTCCTACACTTGTATGTGGTAAGTAATCTCTAGACGCAATTATTATATTTTATAACAGCCGACCCAATTTTTTTCGGGTTTACGACTACTAATGCTCAACTCCATAGCCTTGTCATTTTGAACCCGATCCAAAAGACAAGGAAACTCCTGGATCAAGTATTGGGAGAAATTTACCCTCGTGGTAGACGTTTTGAGGGAACTAACCCGCATTTGCGTTACATGGAGAAGTAAACCACGAAAACCGACAAAGTTAGCCTGATGGGGACTCTCACCCATGATCCATCTACCACTGAGGATATTTTACGTCAGCACTATGGTCAGGGCAAGCCGGATGCGGAATTCGTATCGACCAGCCATCGCTGGGATTCGAACCTGGTTCACCTCATTGGAAGGTGACAGCTCTATCCCTGAGCCATCACAGCTCAAATTTGATTTATAGTTACTTTTCTTGCCTCTAAATACAAATGATTCAATAGTTTATGTATCTTCATTCCACCTGCCTCATATTAAGTCTTAAACTATTGGAAAAATTACCCGAAATTTCAATTATCTAGCACTGTATAAATTATTTGGTGTGCTAGTTAGCAGCCCTTCACCTTTAGTTAAGTTTCAATATTTTTATTATTTCTGATCTTAGAAGAAGAGAAAAGGAAGCTGGAATAGATAGAAAATAATTTTAAAGAATTGCAACAAAAAAAAAGTAGAAAAACGATCATTTTAAATAATTTTTTCCCAGTTTCATCCCCTCAAAATCAATCTTACAACCTAATTTGTAAAAGCAGCGATTGGACGTTCCGGTACTTTTCTGTCAAGCGGAACGTCGTAAATCGTGTTTTTATTAATGTATAACTCTTTTAATTTTAAGTTGTGCTTTAAAAAAAAAGAAAAAAAAACTTATAGAAAGCTCGCTTATATTTAAAAAAAAAAAAAAATAGAGAGAAAAGAGAAATATGTTCCATATATTAAGTATTGGGATTTTTCCTTTCAAATATAGTTCGAATTACACCATATTGGAAATTCTATAAAATACAGTCTAGGAATTTTCGTGAATAAAAGTCGATTTTTTTTTATTTATTTATTTTCTTTTACATGTTACGCTAAGAAATGGAAGACACCTAAAATAAAATTATTACAATATTGTATCTACGAATTTTCATTCAAACATTAATAGACAAAGTATCAATTTTTAAATTATTATGATTAAATGCTCTTAGGGGTCCTTTCAATTGAAATATAACAAAATCGAACTCGTAACCTTTCTATTGAGTTCTGATTCACGATAGAAATTGTGCCAGCGATGTATTACATTTAATTTTTTAGTAGGGGAGAGTCGGGTAGCCCCGCTCACTTAAGGAGTATTGCTTATATTTCTGTATAATATTGAGTAATAATCAAGATTTTTGTATGCTTCTATTGTTTTATCATCTAATTAAATAATGCAAAAAGAATAAACCAAAAAAAGAATAGTTTAACTTAAAAAAAATGAAATTTAGAAAAACATGTCCTGTATTCAATATATTTTCAGAACTATTGTTTACAATGTTACCAGCTGCATAAATACTCGAAACTTTGAAAATAATCTTTTTTTAATATAACAATTAATGTCCGATGGCCCATTGACTTGAAAAAATATTCTATACATATGAAATTGACAGTGGGCGGGGGTGCCCGACACTCCCCTACCTAGTAAAGATTTTTTTGATTATTCTATCTCTGATTTAATGTTGATGGATAGTAGTTCAAAAATATAGAAACTAGAAAATACATATGAATTAAAAATATATATAGAATTATTCATTTTATATAGTAAACGGAGAAAAATATGAAAATATATACGTGAGAAGTATTTATTTTTAGAAACCTTGTCAGAAATGAAATAATAAATGAATGCACATTTGCGGTTGTTAATTTAAATGAGAAAAGACGAATTCTATCAATTCAGGAAAAACGGAACAGAAAGCATCAAAACAATTTTAATTGCAAGATGAAACTTATTTGCATTTTTAATAATCTCTGTTCAACTCCTACGGCAATCAAATATATTTTGATGTTTTTAATTCCTTCTTCTGTAGTGATTCGTTAGAATTCGATTGCGTTGGTAATTTTCTTTGTTTAGACACTTAATGCGTAAATTTCTTTTACTTTAATAATAACAAGGATTCTGAAAATATGTATTAGGGTAGTCATTAAGACAAATCTTGTTTATTTGGTTATTTATATTAAATTAACCCTGCATATTTCTTTAAAAAAAATTAAATTATAGGATTTAAATGAGAGAAGTAAAGTTTTTACTTTTAGCATGTATTAAATAAATCTACTTTAAAGTACTTCTGGAAAAGCCAAATGTAATGTCAGATCATCGAGATGAAAAATATATGGTTATATATAAGAAAGTGGAAAATGCAAAATCACTCCAGAGGGCGAACAGAGGGGCTTTAAGAATTCAAATATTTGTTGTTGTCGTAGGCCATTAAGGCAAGGGGTGAGATTATTCTTGTTTTCCAGTGGCGCCATCTATGGCCAAAACTTCGACTTCTGCCACCACCCGATTATAGGGCGGACCCACTCATACATCTACAGATCGTAATTTTGACCTGAACCACAGAACGATCAATCTCCAATTCAGTTTCCCCAGAGGTATAATTTGTTATAGGAACATGGAGAACATAGTGATCCGACTGATTTAACGTGCACCAATCACCATTTACTGCACGGGGAGTCTTCAGCCGACGGGATTCGAATTCTCGTTCTCACGAACGTGAGTCCTGCTCCCTGCCAACCAGGCTATTCCGACTCATTCAAATAGTTGATTTCATGATATTTATTTATATGTAATATTCGTCCACTTATTATTATAGAGCAACTGAGATGGAGATTTCAGCCATATATTTCCTCCCTAAGAGTAAGATGTGAGTTGTAGAAGCATAAAATTATGATAATAGGGATGAAAAAAAAATTTTTTTTTTGCTTGCAGGTGGTGAGGACATATCTAAAGAAACAAGCAATTCAGTACCAGATTTAAGACCTACCTTTCAGCCCACATTTCAGTCAACTTATTCAACAGCTACAGTAGATTTAGATAAAAATGTGACATATGATGAGTTAAGTTTAGAGACAAGTGAGACTACAGAGTATATAACGAGAGAAAATAATGTAGCAAATCAAAATGATTTAGAAAATGATAGTTTAATGTTTGTTTCTTCTACAGAGGAAGAAGATCATGAATTAACAATTTTAAATAATATTCCAGGAGGTATGTACATTTTATTCATACAACGAAAAATAATTCATTTCCTTAATTGAAATGTTTTTAATAATAAGGCTCTAACGAGGATTATCTATGCATAAAAAAAATCTGATCGTTTAATATAAATATTAGCACAGTCAACTCACTACTTGAATGAAATGTTTGACTTGAATGAAAGCAGGATAACGTATGAAACGGTCAACGAATATATATA